TTGCCCACTAATTGCCGCGAAAATCGGCCGATCGGCAAAATCGGCCGATTTTTTTCCAACTTTACCGGAAAAAAAAAACGGCCAAAATACCGAAAAACGGCCGACCAAATCGCCCACTAACGATCCGAAAATCGGCCGATTTTATTTTCGGCCGAAAAATCGCCGATTTTCGACCCATCTATGGCCTGCATTACACTGAAAAACAAAATATTTAATCTTTGTGACACTTAAATAGAATTTGCATAATAATTTGGAACGCGGTGTATTAGGGTCATATGCGCTGTATAATACTGTAGGTTGATCTGGAGCTTGTAGTCCTCCTGGATGTTTATATGCGGTTACCCACTTCAGTATACCATAGCGGTGTTCATTTATCTCATAATACTTGAATATGAAAGATATGGAAGCTCCAAATAGTGTAATTCCGCTTTATTATAAAATAGTGATAAAAGCAATCGCACTTACATAGATAATAAATTACAAGGTAGAGCACCGAACGAGACGTAGCGCACCAGAGTTCATCTCACTGGTCGGAAATGACATCACCAGCATCTGTCACTGATGCATTTTGCCTCACCTCCGGGGCATTCTGAGCCTTTGTGAATGCTCTGAAGAGGCGAAATGCGTCAGTAACGGCTGCTGATGACATCATTTCTGGCCGGTGAGACTCACTCTGGTGCGCTACTTCTGGTTTGGAGCTCTACCTTGTATTTTATTATCTATGTACAGTGCCTTATATAAGTATTTATACCCCTTTTAAATTTTTCATATTTTGTCATGTTACAGCCAAAAACATAAATGTATTTTATTGGGTTTGGATGGGATAGATCAACACAAAGTGGCACATAATTGTGAAGTGGTAGGAAAATCATAAATGGTTTTCAAAATTGTTTACAAATTTGTGAAACGTGTTGCGTGAATTTGTATTCAGCCCCCCGGAGCCAATACTTTGTAGGACCTCCTTTCACTGCAATTCCAGCTGCAAGTCTATTTGGGGATGTCTCTACCAGCTTTGCACTCTAGAGAGGGACATTTCTGCCCATTCTTCTTTGCAGAAATATCTCAAGCTCTGTCACATTGGATGGAGAGCGTCTGTGAACAGCAATTTTCAAATCTTGCCACAGATTCTCCATTGGATTTAGGTCTGGACTGTGACTGGGCTTTCTTCTATATGTTTGCTGTGTGCCCCACATGGCTTCCTGCAAACTTCTTATGGCTTTCATTCAATGGCTTTCTTGCCATTTTTCCATAAAGGCCATATTTGTAGCGTGCACAACTAATAGTTGTCCTGTGGACAGATTCTCCCACCTGAGCTGTGGATCTCTGCAGCCCCTCCAGTTACCATGGGCCTCTTGGCTGCTTCTGTGATTAATGCTCTCCTTGCCCGGCCTCTCAGTTTAGGTGGACGGCCATGTCTTGGTAGGTTTGCCATACGCTTTCCATTTTCAGATGGTGGATTGAACAGTGCTCCGTCAGATGTTCAATGCTTGGGATATTTTTCTTTAACTTAACCCAGCTTTAAACGTCTCCACAACTTTATCCCTGACCTGTCTGGTGTGTTCCTTGGCCTTCATGATGCTGTTTGTTCACTAATTTTCACTAACAAAACTCTGAGGACTTCACAGAACTGCTTTATTTATACTGACATTATATTACACACAGGTGGACTCTCTTTACTAATTAGGTGACTTCTGAAGGCAATTGGTTCCGCTAGATTTTAGTTAGGGGTATAAGAGTAAAGGGGGCTGAATATAAATGCACACCACTTTTCAGATATTTATTTGTAAAAACGTTTGAAAATAATTTATCATTTTCCTTCCACTTCACAGTTATGTGCCACTTTGTGTTGGTCTATCACATAAAATCCCGATAAAATACATTTACGTTTTTGGTTGTAACATGACAAAATGTGGAAAAATTCAAGGGGTATGAATACTTTTCAAGACACTATATATATGCAATTATATATATATTTTTTTATATATATATATATATATATATATATATATATATATATATATATATATATATTTAATTTAAAGCGGAATTACACTATTTGGGTTTTCCATATTTTTCATATTCATGCATTATGACAGGGCTCGACAAATCCCGGTCACCGTGACGACTAGAAAATGTGCCCAGGCTGTTGTCAGCCCCAGTAGGTGTAGCATAGGGGAGCGCAATCAGGCTCAACATTGCCGGGCAGCCTGCAGATGTCACTGCCACGTGTATGAGGCCGGAGGGTAGGGAGGAGCAGCAGTGTGAGGGTGGAGAGCGTCGGGAATGTGAAGGGCGGGTTAGGGGAGATACGGGGCTGTACATTTATAGGATGGGCGGGTCAGAGGAGCAGCGGAGCTGGCAGAAAGTTTCCCTTGTGTGGCTCTCAGCAACACCTGCCCCTCTGGGAAGACTCTCAGCCTCACCTCGGAGCAGGAACCCGGCGCCATGACAGCCAGTGTGGCCACCTATCAGTGCCGCATTAGTGCAGCCTCATCAATGTCCACATCAGTGCAGTCTCATCAGTGTCCACATCGGTGCCCCTTCTGTGCATCCTCATCAGTGGCCCCATCAGTTCAACCTCATGAGTGCCACCTCATTAATGGTCCTATCAGTGTAGCCTCATCAGTGCCTCTATCAGTACAGCCTCACCACCGCACATCCGTGAAGAAAAATTACTTATTTGAAGAAAAAAGATTTGTTTTTTAATTGTCAGTCTTTTCTTTGTGTATTTTGTAACAAATAAAAAGCCCAGTGGTGATTAAATACAACTAAATGAAAGCTCTATCTGTCTGATAAAAAAAAAAAAAATAGCATTTTTATTTGGGTACAGTGCGCACGACTGCACAATTCTCCTTTGCCCTTGGTTCAGATCTGTGAGGCGGTGCTGCTGCAGGGCCCGCACAAATACCTGCAGCCGCACCACCAATACAGAGGAATGTGGAACCCACGGGCGGGTGCCATTAAGGCACGCCGCCTGCACTGGAAATCGCAACTGTACTGGGAACCTCGGTTCCCATGTGGGCTGCAATTTCCAAAGTAGTGCAGGGTCTTCTTCCCTGCATGTCCCGGGGCACGGGAGTCCATTCAAATTAATGGGGCTTTTGTGCCTCTGTGAATTGTGGCCCGCACGACCACTCAGATGTGTGACAGAGCTGAAAGTTTAAAATTGGCCTGGACAGGAAGGGGGCAAAAATAACCAGTAGGCAAGTGGTTAAAAAACTGGCTCCTAACTTTTTCAGCTGGCTCCTAGATTCAAAGCAAATTTGTCAAACCCTGCATTATGAAATAAATGAACACTGGTATGGTATACTATAGTGGGTAACAGAATATAAACATCCAGGAGGACTACAAGCTCCAGATCAACCTGCAGTACTATACAGCGCATATGACTGTTACTATTATTATACAGGATATATGAATCCACATCTTCTGTTGAGTGGGTTGGCACATAGGAGGGGAGCACAGTATTTACACAGCCACTAAAGGAATAGCATGAAGTAATCTGATAGATTAGAAGCAGGGATTTGCTTCCTCATGTCAGAGATGCTCAGTTGATGACCCATGGAGGAGTAATGAAACTAGCAGGAGATGTAGAGGAACCACAGATCTACAGAATAGATGAAGCAAAAGCAGGGAAACCCTTGTACTGCAGGTTCTCAGGTACAGCTTCCTCTCCAGCAAGGAGAACAGCGAGAAGCACAGTAGTGACATCACTAAATCTCCTGAGACTAGCAGTCCAGAAGCAGTGCCTTAGATCTCACACTGCACATATACAATTATGAGGCTCCTGGTACCCTCACATACTAGGATACAATTAATGCTTGTTCTCAATCCATTTGCCGATGCTTGATTCTGTTGATATGAATTATGACTTACATTTCATTAATAAGTGGTCTTCATGTTGTAGAAAATATTCTAGAATCCAATGATGTTTATCATTACCTGTGAGGGTGTGTTCCTTTTACTTGCACTGGCTCAAGACTACATATTCTATCCAGTATTTCCCCATACAGTGTAGTGCATGTATGTTATATCTACCTTTCACCAGTATCTAATATTTTCATTGTTAAGAATCCTGCACAAAGCTGCTCTTCTTAATTAGACCCAGCTAGGTTCTGACATGCAGTGTGGTCACCCTTGAGTTGATGTACTTTATGCTGCGATGATACTGTTTGTGTCGGGCTTTGCATGCCTGTTAAGAAGATGTTAATGCATCTTTAATGTTCCTCCTGAAGTTGGCAGACTATCGTCATGGGCCAGCGTTTCCTGGTGACGGGGTCCCTCTGGGTCACGCGTATCTGAGTTGTGTGTGCCAACATCTTGCTACTCTTTGGAGGGTACACAATAGATGAGAACACAAACATTCCTGTTTGATCATTATGTGGTTGTTGCTTGTTCTTCGTAATTTACTCACAAAGAAAGTTTGTGATAGTTTTGTGTTCGGTGCCCTCCAGACTTTATTTTCTGGGCCAATTGGTGTTACAAGGCATAGTCAGTCTTTTGTAAAAATGTAATAAATGCACCGAAATTAATAAAATACAAACATTTGTTTTTATTAATTTTTTTCATTGAAGCCTGGAGAGCAGTGCAACCGTGATTTAAGCTAACGCCCATGTGAACAAGGCCTTGGACAGTCAGGTGCTCCCTGGATCAACAATCTACAGTGGTGGCATATGTCTTTGTCCTGGTGGGCATTGTCATTGGAACTTAAAATGAGTAAAAATCCAAAATATTAGGTTGCTACTAGATGAGCATTAGAGATCAATTCTAATAGGGAAAGTATTCTGGTGACATCTGCCCAAGAGGGGATTTCCCTGATTTTTCCACACTTTGGAGAGATTTCCTTTTGCCTTCTGTTGTGTCTACAGGGCAGGATGTGAAGGGAAATCACAGCAGAAAACAAAAGTTGGGTTTAGATATACTCCGTTTTGCTTCATAAGAGATTCTAGTTTGCATTTTTAATAGATTCTAGTTTGCATCTTTTTTTTTTTTTGGTTCTAGGCATATATGAACCCTATAGCTATGGCCCGAGCCAGGGGCCCCGTAGCTTCTGGTGGACCGACCATTCAGGATTATTTGAGCAGGCCAAGGCCTACCTGGTGAGTTGTGCTCGCTTATTGCAATAAAGCTCAATTTCAGGCAGAGAGTAAAAACTAAATAAAATTAATGTCTGTACTACTGTGGGGGTTGATCAAGATTTTTTTTTTTTTTTTACACTGTATTGCTTATAACAGTGGTGATCACTGTTATAAGCAATAGTTTTAACTGTCATGAATGGATTTCAATTATGACAGTTTGCTTATTATGATGATGCTGTGATTGGCTACAGCAAATCACATGGTGCAGCGTGCCAGATACCATGTGATAGCTGTGGGCCAACCACAGCATCACAACAGTAAGCAAGCTGCCATGAATGGAAATTAAGACCGTTTTGCTTACAAGTAATCATGTGACCATTATGATTGTGCATAGCGATCACGATACCCCAGGCACTCACAGCGACCAGGTACCGATCACCTTGAGCTGCTTTGTCCACCAGACACAGCATTCGGGAGATTTTGCCGCTGCACGCCACAGGGGCATACCAGTGTGCATGTGCTAAGCGAATGGTACATAGCTTAGCCTGTAGCTGCCGCCAGCCCGCAGTAAATGTACTATGGATTGATGCCATTTCAGGAATTCCACCACTCCGCCATTTAAAGATTTCTGGCGATATTGAAGTGGTTAAAGCAGCAATATGGCATGGTGCACCAAGAGTCAGCAGATGCTTGTCTGAGCTCTTATAGGCACATAGTCATTGGTAATGAGGTCTTTTTACCTATCCTCCGTCCTTCTTTCTCTTGTTTCTCCCAGTTCGCTCTAACAAACTAGCTGAAAATTTTTTTCTATAACTGATGGGAATGTACAATATATATGTAAAGCGCTGCATAAATTGATGGCGCTATATAAGTACCTGGAATAAATCTTTGTTTCTGTTGACAGTCCTTCCACTAAGCAAACTGGGTTTAGGTGTTTTATTACTGACTATGTTAAAGCAGAGTTCCATGAAACTGTAAAAAAAATAAAATAAATAAAAATAAAAGTCAGCAGCTACAAAAATTCTACCTGCTGACTTTTAAAAAAAAACAGCCACTTACGTGTCCCTCGATCCCGCGGTGTCCTCCCCGCAGCCCGTTTCACTGGTGGTCCTGTGTTCCAGGCGCCAGCATCTTCATTGTGGACACCCGGCTGTGACAGCTTGCGGCTTCACAGCCGGGTACCCACTGCACATAGACGATTAGCGCTGCGCTTTCTGAATGGTCCTGTAGTCTTCTGGGACCTGTCACGTGTCTCAGAAGACTATGGGAAGGGAGGGGACAACTTCCGCTTCTGATCGCCTAGGCGATCGCAGAAAAAGTGGGAGCGGGTACCTGTCAAATTCGGGTACCCGCTCCCCAAAGGTGCCAATCTTTAACAGGGAGCAAAGGAGCCAACATTAAAGTGGAACTTCCCCTTTTGGGTGGAGCTCTACTTTAAAGTGCAAATCCAATCAAATTATAACTAAGCCTAAATCTGTTCCCACCCCATTCTAAGACTATTCTATCTGCCAAGTGACAGAAAAGATCTGTATACTTACCTGTTCTGAAGCCGCTCCAGTCCAGTCACATGATTGGCTCCCAGTGCCAACTTCAGTGTAGAGGAGGGGCAGCTGACAATGGCTGCCCCATAGTAAGCCTATGGGTGGCATTATCTCCCAGGCTCTGAAGCCATTGTCACTGCCTCTCCTCTATACTGATGCTGGAGCTAGGTAGGTAATTCTACAGAGCTTTTCCTTAACAGGGTAAATAGAATAGTCTTAGAATGGCGGAGTAGATTTTGGGTTTAGTTAGAATTTCAATGGAATTGCACTTCAAAGCGGATTTGGCTGGAATTTTACTTTAATGAAATACTGAATGATTACTACATACATGATAGTTAATGTGGTTTAATCAATAACTACAACCTTTTCACATCTTTTACAGGGAGGAAGTGAAAGAACAACTAGAGAAGAAGAAAAAAGGGTCCAGGGCGCTGGCTGAGTTTGAGGAAAAGATGAATGAAGTGCGCTTTTGTTCTTTTAAAATGGCAATGAAATCTAAATCTATAAGTCTGTATTTCTTACATTTCAGCAAAGAAATAGCCAGCATATAAAAAATGAAGTTCAAAAAGATTTGAGGTTCCATTATAAAGTACAGAAAAGTGCAAAAAATTATTATCCGCGAACGTTAGGGGGCCGCCACGCTGCACCCTTTTTTTCAAGGTGACAGACTCAAGGGTGTAGTGAGCCCCTGTCTTCCTCCAGAGAGATGACTACACAATGTCTTTGCAGCACTGAAATCCCAAACAGTGCCTGTGTTCTCCACTGCTGACGTCAGCACCTCTTCCTCTCCTGATCTCCATATTGCGGTCACTTTTATCAATGTTAGGGGTTTTTACTGTGATTGCTAATGCTGGGGGTTTTTACTGTATCCTCTGACACAAATGCTGGGAGATACTATTACGGTCACTGACACCAATGATGGTGGTTATTATTGCAGTCTCTGACATCAGTGCTTGGTATTATTATTGAGATCACTGACACCAATGATGGTGGTTGGTATTGCATCCACTGACACTAGTGCTGGGGGTTATTATTGGGATCAATGACATCATTGCTTGGTGTTGTTGTTGCATCCACTGACACTAGTGCTGGGGGTTATTATTGAGATCAATGACATCAGTGCTTGGTGTTGTTATTGCATCCACTGACACTAGTGCTGGGGGTTATTATTGAGATCAATGACATCATTGCTTGGTGTTGTTATTGCATCCACTGACACTGACATCTAGTGCTGGGGGTTATTATTGGGGTCAATGACATCATTGCTTGGTGGTGTTATTGCATCCACTGACACTAGTGCTGGGGGTTATTATTGGGGTCAATGACATCATTGCTTGGTGGTGTTATTGCATCCACTGACACTAGTGCTGGGGGTTATTATTGGGGTCAATGACATCATTGCTTGGTGGTGTTATTGCATCCACTGACACTAGTGCTGGGGGTTATTATTGGGGTCAATGACATCATTGCTTGGTGGTGTTATTGCATCCACTGACACTGACACTAGTGCTGGGGGTTATTATTGGGGTCAATGACATCATTGCTTGGTGGTGTTATTGCATCCACTGACACTAGTGCTGGGGGTTATTTTACTGACCCACTATTCTTTTCAGTGTGAGTATTGCGATTAACAAAATAGTGCTGGGGGATTTTCTTTTCAGTGAGTATTTACATTTTTCTTGGTGTTAAGATGCATTACAGCCCATCCATTTTAAATGGACTTGATGCAATGTGCTTCAACACATAAAAACATGCAGCTGTTGTGTAGCCCCCTGGAAATGTTGGGAGCTGCATACGAGTCCCTCTATAATTTTCAGGTTCACCACCACTGTATAGAAGGCAAGAAAGAGGTAAAGGTGTAAATTTGGGTCATTCCTGGAGATAAGCTTTAAAGTGGTATAAACCCAAAACCAAAAATGTTATATATTGTAGCTTACCAATCATTAGATGTGTTTGCTGCATTAGTCTTCTGTTGTTAGGCCTTTTCCCTCTGTTTTCACCTGGTGATCTGGCCAGTAACTAACCTTCTGTGTTACAGTGCCCCTACTCTGGATGAAGGAGCGCAGTGGCAGAGCAGACAGAAACACTACCAGTCTGGGGAGATAGGAGTGTTAATTGCACTAGCAAATTTAAATACACTAACAAATTGAAGCCAAACTCCAGCTCACACTTTGTTATCAGTTGCAGCAAACACATCGATAAATAAAAGTTGATCATTGCAAGTACCCTGGTCATTGTTAAATGGTTTGTCTCATCCCTGTTGCTACAAGAGAGCTTGTTCTGACGAGAAACAACACTTACGGGCTGGATCACCAGATGAAAAGAAAAACTGAATAAAAAAGAATTAATGAAGCCATCACATCTAGTAATTGGTAACCTGCATTATAATAAATGTTTGCTTTTGGGTTTAACACTGCTTTAAACTGCATGTATTTGAGCTAATTTACCTGCCAAAAGGCATCTGTTCGTACTGTTGATGCATACAGCTCTGCAACATAAGCACATTTAGTTCTATTGTATCCTACAGTGATGTGAGGTCAGAGGGGGGTGAGCCAGTGAGAGCTGCGGGGGGAGGGGACTAAGGGATTTGACCACTTTTTAATATTGCAGTATGATAATTTAAATGTTTCATACTTAGCAGTGATCTTTTTATGTAATACTATTCTCTCTTGTGGTGCTGTACAAAAATGGAAAGTTCAATATTTTGTTTTTGTATTGTTCCAGAGTTGGAAAAAGGAGCTTCAAAAGCACAGAGAGAAGGTCATTTCTGGCAGCGATAGTTCTTCAAAGAAGAAAGAGGTACTAGAGTATTTTTGTTGTTATACCTTACTTTAAATTTCATCCTGCCTTCATGACAGAGTTTGTTTTAAAGTCGAAAGTGTTCAGACAACTAAATTCATATACAGAATATTGCCAAAAGTATTGGGGCACCTGCCTTTTACACGCACATGAACTTTAATAGCATCCCAGTCATAGTCCATAGGTTTCAATATTGAGTTGGCCCACCCTTTGCAGCTACAGTGCCTTGAAAAAGTCTTCATACCCCTTGACATTTTCCACATTATGTCATGTTACAACCAAAAATGTAAATGTTTTATTGGAATTTTATGTGATACACCCACAAAAAATTTGGCACGTAATTGTGAAGTGGAAGGAAAATGTTAAATGGTTTTCAAAATATTTTACAAATATCTGAAAAGTGTAGCATGCATTTGTATTCAGTCCCCTTTCCTCTGATATCCCTAACTAAAAACTAGTGGAACCAATTGCCTTCAGAAGTCCACCTGTGTGTAATTTAATCTTAGTATAAATACAGCTGTTCTGTGAAGCCCTCTGAGGTTTGTTAGAGAACATTAGTGAACAAACAGCATCACAAAGGGCAAGGAACACACCAGATAGGTCAGGGATAAAGTTGTGGAGAAGTTTAAAGTAGGGTTCGGTTATAAAAAATCTATCCCAAGCTTTGAACATCTCACAGAGTACTGTTAAATCCATCCAAAAATGGAAAGTGTATAGCACAACTGCAAACCTACCAAGACATGGCCGTCCACCTAAACTGACAGGCGGGGCAAGGAGAGCATTAATCAGAGAAGCAGCTAAGAGGCCCATGGTAACTCTGGAGGAGCTGCAGAGATCCACAGCTCAGGTGGGAGAATCTGTCCACAGGAAATCTGGCCTGTATGCAAGAGTGGTAAGAAGAAAAATTGTTGAAAGAAAGCCATAAGAAGTCCCGTTTGCAGTTTGTGAGGAGCCATGTGGGGGACACAGCAAACATGTGGAAGAAGGTGCTCTGGTCAGATGAGACCAAAATTTAACTTTCTGGCCTATATCAAAGTTTAGGTCAAAGCATATTCATATATTAGAATGGCCCAGTCAAAGTCCAGACCTAAATCCAATTGAGAATCTGTGGCAAGACTTGAAAATTGCTGTTCACAGATGCTCTCCATCCAATCTGGAAGAGCTTGAGCTATTTTGCAAAGAAGAATGGGGAAAAAATGTCGCTCTCTAGATATGCAAAGCTGGTAGAGACATCCCCCAAAAAGACTTGCAGCGGGAATTGCAGCGAAAGGTGGTTCTACATATATTAACTCGGGTAGGGGACTGAATACAAATGCACACCACGCTTTTCAGATATTTATTTGTGCAAAAATTGTGACAACTGTTTATCATTTTCCTTCCATTTCACAATTATGTGCCAAAAAAATACATTTACGTTTTTGGTTGTAACATGACAAAATTTGGAAAATTACAAGGGGTTTGAATACTTTTTTCAAGTCACTGTATAACAGCTTCCACTCTTCTGGGAAGGCTGTCCACAAGGTTTAGGAGGGTGTCTATGGGAATGTTTGACCATTCTTCCAGAAGTGCATTTGTGAGGTCAGGCTCTGATGTCAGACGAGAAGGCCTGGCTCGCAGTCTCCGCTCTAATTCATCCCAAAGGTGTTCTATGGGGTTGAGGTCAGGACTCTGTGTAGGCCAGTCAAGTTCCTCCACCCCAAACTTGCTCATCCATGTCTTTATGGTTCTTGCTTTGTGCACTGGTGTGCAATCATGTTGGAACAGGAAGGGGACATCCCCAAACTGTTCCCACAACGTTGGGAGCATGAAATTGTCCAAAATGTCTTGGTATGCTGACGCCTTAAGAGCTCCCTTCACTGGAACTAAGGGGCCAAGCCCAACCGCTGAAAAACAACCCCAAACTATAGTCCCCCTCCACCAAACTTTACACTTGGCACGATGCAGTCAGGCAAGTACCGTTCTCCTGGCAACTGCCAAACCCAGATACGTCCATTGGATTGCCAGACACAGAAGCGTGATTGGTCACTCCAGAGTACACTGTAGTCCAGTGGTGCCCATGCTTTTTCAGCACTGCCCCAGATGCTTTGCATTGCATTGATGTTGCTGCTCGGCCATGGAAACCCATTCCATGAAGCTCTCTACGCACTGTTGTTGTGCTAATCTGAAGGCCACCACCAAATTTGGAGGTCTTTAGCTATTGACTCTGCAGGCAGTTGGCGAATTCTGCGCGCTGTGCCCTTCAGCATGCACTGCCCCTGCTCTGTCATTTTACGTGGCCTACCACTTGGTGGCTGAGTTGCTTCTGTTCCCAGTTGCTTCCACTTTGTTATAATATCACTAACCATTGACTGTGGAATATTTAGTAGCCAGGAAATATCACGGATGGACTTATTGCACAGGTGGCAACCTATATCATTAATAACGGACGCCAATGGACGTAAATATAAATAAAAAATGTACAAAGCAAAAGTTAAAAGATGGGCGGATGAGGGGGAGCAGCTATCTAATTCCTTGGAAACCAAGGAAAAAAGCCTACTACGGTACCACGCTTGAATTCACTGAGCTCCTGAGAGTGACCCATTCTTTCACAATTCTTTGTAGAAGAAGTCTACATGCCTAGGGACTTGATTTTATACACCTGTGGCCATGGAGGGGATTGGAACACCTAAATCCAATGATTTGGAGGGTGTCCCAATTTTTTGGGGAATATAGTGTATGTTCACTGTTTTACCTTACAAAGGGATCTTAATCCTGTTCAGCCAGTATTGTGATGTGCACATCTGTTACTCTGCACAGCTAGGTGGATCATTCCCATACTTCAGCTTCAATGCTTCCTGGACTACCTCCCTGCTAACTGAACAGAGGGTGCCATAGAAAGTTTTAAGTGCTTGACCAGAATAAGGGGGCATCAGTCTCACCAGCTGTGTAGTGCAGCATACGTGTGTAAAGCACAAGGCCTCGCTGAACAGAATTTATTTGAATTGTGCAAGCCTTGCCTTTTGAAGTATCTATCAAGTGACAAATTTAAATGTAGTTGTTGGGAAACAATTTGCAGTTATCTGCTTCCTACCAAACTCCAATAAACATAGTATTCTGTCTGCTCCTTGTCACCCATGGCAGCAGGCAAGCTTTGAGCATCTCCTATTGGGCACAGTAAATTCTTCACTAACCTGTACAATTGTACAGATAGTTGATAATTATGATATACATGTTGCCTCCTGAAGCCTGATCCACACTCATATCGCACATCAGAGTTTACTGACAGGCGGTGAGGAAGCAATTTGACGCCTCCTCACTGCCTGTTTTAACCCCATTTTTTGCCAATAAATACGCTGCGTTGCACACGGTTGTGGGGTGTTTGCTGCACTTCCCTTTGACTTGAATGTGTAGCGTTCAGCTATGAGGAAGGCAGAGTGCGTTCTCTGGAAGATGAGCTGGACCCGGCCAACGCCATGCTAATCGCACTGATAACCTGGAGAACTGCCTATGGAGAAATAACGTTGAGATCTTAGGCCTGCCTGAAAAAAATCGAGGGACGCAATCCAGCTGTTTATATTGAGCAGTGGTTATTGGATACCTTTTGACAAGAAGAATTTTACGCCATTCTTTGCGGTGGAAAAGGGTGCACAGCATTCCAGGTGTACCCTCTTTGTACCCTGTACCCTTTTTGTCCACCATTTTTGTCCATCTCCCCCATGGCCGTGGAATTTTAGAATTATCTCCTAGGACGTTAGAGGATTAAATGCAGGACAATTTTTGATTTGCTTTCCAATACCTCCATTGCTTGTCTACAGGAAACTCGCCTCACTAAACATTCTACCAGTTTCTTAAATTCTCACACTTTTCCAACGCAATATCACTCTGTTTACTCATCTTACGCCAGAAGAGTCCGTATTCTGATCTCAACTAAAGTGCACCTTTTCTGTCGAAAAGCTTTAATAGATCCTAACTAGTGAGCTTCTCGAGTATCATCCCTAATACTGTTATTTAGGCATTTCAGGTGACCTCTGCAAGACTGTATTTCTTAGCAGCCCAGCTACAAAACTTCTCTGGGTAGGGAACTATTAATGAGGTGGACCCCATTCAAGCTGTATTTCTACCTAGATCGAATCAATACAATTTTGATAGCTCAACTGGAAGTGGGTGGGTTTTGGGGCTGCTCATAACACCCTACACTGATACTTATGGCTAAGGTCTGGGGGGAGATGAAGCAAATTTTTAGATACGATGAAATCTCAAGATACCACCTCATTTGGGAGGGGGAACGATTAGAAGAGCTAGGTAAATTACAGGGCTTTTCAGGTTGGTTCTCTAGAGGGGTCCTTTTTCTTTACCAGCTCTACAGTAACAACCAATGGAAGCCTTTTAAATATTTACAAGAGGGTTTTAACATCCCCTGGTGCCGTTTTTTTTTTTTTTTTCTTCAGTACCTCCAGCTACGTCACGCAGACGACAGCTCTTACACAGATCCAGACCCCACTTATAGAACAATTAGCAACTACCACTGTTAAGAAGGAACTTACTCTCTTTGTACATCACTCTTGGATAGCTCTCAGGGTAACATGCAGTTACCACGTAGAGGAGGATGGTCTACACATGTTCCCACTTATGATGGAGAGATCTCGCACTCCATTTTAGAACAGGTCCCTCTGGTATCCATCTCTCCTACTCAGAGATTGTCAAAACTTTTTCTCATAAGAAATACAGATAATCGGGCATTTCAAGTGACTCTGAGTAATGATCCTTTGACATGTATACTAGAGTTCCTAGATAAAGAAATTATTTACACCCTAGGCCAAAACTGCTATTACTAGACTGTTGTTTTTGGTGCGTAAATGTCTATTGCTAAAGTGCCTTGAAACCACACCCCCTACATTCGAGGAATGGCGGACGCACGTCAATGCTACCCTGATGACAGAGAAACATATACTGAAGCAGCAAGGCACTCCTTTTAAAGTCATGGGACCCATGGCTTCAGACTTGGGCTTACCCCCCCCCCCCCTTCCGTAGCCCTTGTGTTCCTGAGCATTTTACAATGCTAGTTGCTCCATTTTTACACTAACCTATTCATAGGAATAATACTACTGATGATGTAACTATATGGCAATGTCAATTGGTAGAAAGACAAGAACACTGTGGATTTAACTTGATTTTACTTCTGGGCTTGGTAATGGGATGGTTCCTAATCTGTATCTCTATGGGTTGAATAAAATATATATCTTTATTCTATCTCACTGTATTATTGAACATTCTAAGTAAAAGTGGTATTTACTGTCATGTTCAACTGATCTAAAGCAGCCTCTTTGTACCAAAACCACTGCTTGCTCTGAATGTATTAAGCCATCGTACGTGTATGAATACTATTGCATCTTGTGAGGAGTCAGTTGCTAGACTGTATGGCTTTTTCTGTGCTTATTTTCTTTTTGTTTTGTTTGGTTTCTTTTGTTGATTTGTAAAGCGATAAAACCTTCAATTAAAAAGTACAAAGTACTGGGGGAGGGGGTGTTTTTATTAACATTTTATTAGAAAAGGTTTGTCAAGAAATATAAGTACTTTTCATATTATCCGTTGTGCGACACACAATTCTTTTAAGCAATCCAAATTAATGATGAATTCTATATGTTGTCGAAATAAATAAGTTTGCATTGATATCTCCCCTTGTCTGTCTAGTGAAAATCATTTGTTTTCTTCCCTTGAACCATCCGTTATGTTGAGGATGTCACTGTTTTTTTTTTTTTTTTGTTTTTTTTTTACTTTGTAGAAACGCAAAAAGGAAAAGAAGAAATCCGGTGGGGTGAGAATAGTTTTCATTTCTTTCATGTGTGAAGACAAAGTTTCAGGTCTGCTGGTAATAAATTACAGACGTCAGATGCAGACATACCTTCAGCTAACCACTGATCGTACCCAGGACTGTGGCTTTGTTTTCATCCCCACTGCCTTTCTGTCCTCTGCTGTCCCACATTGGGGACTAATCTGGAGACACTCTGCAGGCCATACATTACGGTCTGTGACAGTTGCATGCACAGGTCAATGAGAGGGAGGAAAGCACATCAAAGGGCATAGACTTTCTGCATTTGCTTATTTAACCAATTCAATACCGGGCAATTTTACACCTTCCTGCCCAGGCCATTTTTCACGTTTCAGCGCTCTCACACTTTGAATAACAATTGCACGGTCATACAACACTGTACCCAAACTAAAATTTTATCATTTTCTTCACACAACTAGAGCTTTCTTTTGGTGGTATTTAATCATCGCTGGGGTTTTTATTTTTTTGCTAAATTAACAAAAAAAGACCACAAATTTTGAAAAAAAAAAAAAAAAAACACGTTTTTCTTTGTTTCTGTTATAAATGTTTACAAATAAATAATTGTTCTTCATAAATTTAGGCCGAGATGTATTCTGCTACATGTCTTTGGTGAAAATAACCCAAATTAGGATGTATTTTTTTAGTTTGTAGGAAAGTTATAGAGTTCACAAACTATGGTATAGATCTGAATATTGATCAATCCTGAAGTACTGACAGCCAATCGAATTTCTTGAGGTCCAAGAATGTCAGAATAGTACAGATATCCCCCAAATGACCCCTTTTTGCAGAGTAGACAGTCCGACGTACTTCGTAAGAGGCATAGTGAGTTTTTTGAAGTTGTATTTTTTTTTTTGTCATTTTTCGGAAAATGAAAAAATTAAAAAAATTATTTTCACTATTTTTTTTTTTTTTTTTTTTTTTTTTTTTACATACTGTCACCAGTGCAGTACAGCGTCATCATATAACTGGCATGGCGGTGATCAGGGACACTGACTGGTGACAGTATGAAAAAAAAAAATATATATATATATTTTTTTTTATTATTATTTTTAATTTTTTATTACATTTTTTTTTATTTTTTTTTAAGATTTTTTTTTTTCATTTTTTACTATGACCAAAGTAGTGCAATGTTACCATAGTAACATTGTACTACTTTGGGGAAGTGATCAGTTTTTTTTTTTTTTTTTTTTTTTACACAATTTGCTTATAGCAAAGAACTACTTTGCTATAAGCAAGCATTTACCAGAATGAAATCGATTCATTCAGGTTTTTTTTTTTTTTTTGTGCTTAGCTGTGATTTGGTCACAGCTAATCACATGACATGTGCATGTGATTAGCTGTGACCATTCACAGCTAGGCAATAGTATACAATGGATGACATGAATGAAGCCATCCATTGTATACAACTGTCATGTGACCTGCTGTGATTGGTCACAGCAGGTCACATGGTACCAGCAACGGGGGCCGGTACTCAGATCTGTCATCGGCCGTGTCCGAGGTACACGGCCGGTGACAGATTGCGCCACTGCACGGCTCTGCATTAGCGGAAACTACGCATGTGCGGGAGCACGCCAAATGGCGTGCACCCGGAATGCCGAAGCACTTTTGAAGCCGCCAAACGGCTATTGGCCGGGCGGCTAATGGTTAAAGTGAACCTGTGGTGACTGGGTCACGTTAAATCTGATTTCCAGGTTTGTTAAATATATGTATAAATATTTTCATATTTTTTTATATATTCATGGCCTGTACGGTTCTACGTTCTTTCAATTTACTCCATTGTTGCCCACATATCAAAAACTGTAGGAGCCTGTCCATACTAACCACATGCTAAAACATGCAGTTTAGGTGTGTGGGCTGTTTTGGTGTCCATTTTACAAGGTGGTGAGGATGCGGCGTAATGCGCTTTTTCAGCCACAATACTGTTTCCTTTCTGTATTCTTCATTTGTAACCAGAATCTTGCTTTTTACATTCCATTAGTTATTTGCAGATTATTGCACCATCTACCCCAAGGCTTCCAGTAGTACATAGGATGAAATCGCTTTTTGTTTTTTAATTTTTCGTCTCACAAGTGTCACCCTTATTGTCTTTGGTCAAGTTATCTTCATCTTCTTCTTCTGCATCATCAAGTTCTACTTCTTCCAACAGTTCAGATGAATCTGATAATGAGGTAAGTCAGGTGTCGGGTTCATGTATTCTGGAAGTTATTTTTGATGTCATCAGTTTGGGGTTTTTTTTGTTTATTTGACATTGAGGTTTGCCTGGTATTAAAGTGGTTGTAAACCCTTACATATACCTACTGCAGTGACTAGTCTCAGGTGACACAGAGAGATGGAACATATCCTTGTATATAAGTAGTACCTGTTTATCTGCAGCCTCCTACAGCACACATTTTACAACATATTACTGAGCTCTAGAAGACAGGGATCTGAGGTGTCACACTGTAGAGTAGAGAGCTGAGTGTAATCTGAAAACCTGAATGAAAGGAAGGGACAACGCCCCCTCTTCAAAGTCTCATAGGGAAACATGCATCTCCTGGGATTATTTGGTGTCCTTATACACTGTCACAAGTGATCTATGCAGATAGCAGAGGGAGGAAGAGGGAGCAGATAGGAACCACGCTGGGTGCTTTGGATTGAGGCCAGTACACACTATAGGATATGCTTTTTCATTTCAGAGATGTACCACTTTAATACATATGTAAGCCTTAACATTCACTTTTGGTGAATATACCATTGAAAGTTTTGTTGTATCTGTTTTGATAAGCGAAAAAAATTATACCTGCCGATCCTTCCAGAAATCTAGTGAGCTCACATGTTTCTTTTGTGAGCTGAAAATACTGCATTGGCGTCTCAAAGGATTTTATCAGCCCTGCCTGAATTCTCTTTGTGGACTACAAACTACCACCTCCTATGTCACAACTTTTTCTGTCCTAAGGTGACAGTGGGCTCTATTTACAAAGTGGTATCATAACGCATCTGAGTATGTGGTAAGATACCACACGCGCGTTTTTAACAAAGTTTTTTTAAACTTACTAAAAACCGCTACTAAATACGGTAATTTATTTATTACAGTAGTAAATACCATGTTGTTAAGGAGTGGGGTGGCCACCGGCGTCCTTAAAAATCTGTAACTGTCATGGTTGTTAAGGAGTGGATGGCTGTAGTGTACTTAACAACCAATGAGTCATCAGCTGTCAGAGGGGTTCGCCAATGACAGCTGAGTGTAAACAAAACAAATGCCGTTAATTACAAATTACAGGGAAAAAAGAAAAAAAAACCCATTTTATTTTTATATATATATATATATATACTATATATATATATAAATATATATAATATAATAATATAATATATATATATATATATAATATATATATATATATATATAAACATTTTTGTTTAAAATGGCGTGGGTACCCCTCCCCGAATCCATATCAGACCCTCAGGCAGCCAAACTCCAGAATGTAAAAGAAAAAAAAAATGGCATGGGGTACCCCCCAAAAATCCCATACTAGACCCTTATCCAAGCATGCATCCTGACAGGTCAGAGAAAGGGTTGGGGAGACAATAGCGTCCTTGTAACGGTCCTGGCATGTAATATTGGGTT